GTGTGTGTGTGTGTGTGTGTTTGCGAGTGTGTGTGTGTGCGAGTGTTTGTGTTTCTGTGTGTTTGCCTACAAAACACACCCTTCCACCCTACAAAAGAATCCTTTTTCACGCCCGCAAGTCTTACCCGCCCGCACCTCAATTCACGCCTCCCTCCCAGCGTTCACCACACAACCCACGCCCACATACACTCGCACAGCCCACCCCGACAGGAGAGGATAGTGAGTCACCACAAAGCCACAGGGGAAGGAGCACTGAGGCGACTGATCTTATTTTAGCAGTGAGGAGAGAGGGAAAGGAGAGAGAGAAAAAAAGAAAGTTGAGAGAGGGAGATGGAAGAGAAAGAGAGAGAGAGAGAGAGTTGAGAGAGGGAGATAGAAAGGAAAAAAGAAAGAGAATGTTGAGAGAGGGAGATAAAAGGAAAAAAGGGAGAGAATGTTGAAAGAGGGAGAGAGAAGGGAAAAAAGGAAGAGAATGTTGAAAGAGGGAGATAGAAGGGGAAAAAAAGGAAGAGGGAGAGGAAAGATAAAGGAAAGAGAAAGTTGAAAGATGGAAAGTCAAATTGGCAAAAGGGACATGTGTTGCCACTGGGAGGTGCGAAACTTTGCCCACAGTAGAGTTATAGCAAAGGGTAGAATATAACGTGCTATTGAAAAAATAATAATGATGATAATAAATAAAAGAAAAACATCGGGAAACGAAATAGAAGATAAAGAACTATATTCCGAAATACATATCGTATATACACAGATATTACAGAAACACACACATTTCAAAATCCACCAATAATCCTCAAATCACACCAGAATAGACCATATAAAAAAAATATTTCGCCTATCCCACCCCCCCCTCTCTCTCTCTCTCTCTCTCTCTCTCTCTCTCTCTCTCTCTCTCTCTCTCTCTCTCTCTCTCTCTCTCTCTCTCTCTCTCTCTCTCTCTCTCTCTCTCTCTCTCTCTCCTCCCTCTCCTCCCTCCCTTTTCCCCCTGCCTATCCCCACACCTCCCCATCCCCTTCTCCCCCTTCCCTCCCTGCCCTCCCCGTCAACATAAAAAGAAATGAAAAATGCGCATATACATTTTACATCCAAACATTACATCGGGTTTGGAACGCTGGAGCTCAAAGGGCGAGCCTGTAACCACAGCGACTCAATCTGTTATCCAATTTCGGCCCAACGCCTTAACTCCATACAAATGTTTGCTCACGAGGGAGGGATAAAAAGGGGAAAGGAGAGGGAAGGAGTGCGGGGATGGGGGGGGGAAAGAAAAGAGGGAAGGGTGAGAGAAGGAGGGTGGAAAGAAAAAAGGGAAGAGGGAAAGGGGGAAGAAAGGAAAGGAGGGAGATGGAGGGTGGGTGAAAAGGAAAAAAAGGAGGGAGGGAGAGCGGAAGTAAAGAAAAGAGAGGGAGAGGGAGAGTGGGTGAAAAGGAAGGGAGAGAGGGAGGGAGGGAGAGCGGAAGACAAGAAAAGAGGGGGAAAGGGAGAATGGGTGAAAAGGAAGAGGGAGAGGGAGAGGGAAACAGAACTGGGACAGAAAACCTCAAAGAAGAATAGAAGCAAAAGAAAAAGAAAATGAAACAACTAAGACATCAAAGAACAAAAAATAAAAATGAAAAGAGACACAAAGAAATAAGAATCAAAACAAAAAATACAAGACTCAAACTCTTTCAAAAGTGTGTCAAAGAAAACAAAGAGGAAAAGGAGTAAGAGGAGGAGAGAGAGAACCGCCAGAGAATAGGGAGAGAGAGAGAGAGAGAGAGCGAGAACAGGGAGAGAGAGGGAGAGAGAAAGAGAGAAGAGAGCGAGAGAGAGAGAGAGAAAGAGAGATAGACAGAGAGAAAGAGAGAGAGAGAGAGAGAACAGTGAGAGAGAGAGAGAGAAAGAGAGCGAGAGAGAGAGAGCACAGAGGCGGAGTTGTTAGAGAAGCGGCGGTGCATACGTAACTGGCTGAAATATGGCTCCGTTCTAGACCCAGCCGGGGAGGCGGGGTGGAAACCGGAGGGGGGGGGGTGACAGCTGATACACTCAATTGTCGACATTATTTTTGTTATGTTTTTGTCATTATTGTTTTCATTAGTGCCATTATTGTTATTATCATCGTTATTATTATTATTATTATTACTAATTTTATTTTTATTAGCTCATCATCATCATCATCGCCATCATTACTATCAATATATTTGTTGTCACTATTTTCATACATTAATTTATCTCATCATGACAGTGTTGATGATAAAGATGATGATTGTTATTTTTCATCGTCATCATTATCATCATCGTTATTGTTATTATTATTTTCGTTAACACCATCATAACTATTATCGAAGTAATGTATACAATATAGATAGATATAGAGAGAGAGAGAGAGAGAGAGAGAGAGAGAGAGAGAGAGAGAGAGAGAGGAGAGAGAGAGAGAGAGAGAGAGAGAGATAGAGAGAGAGAGAGAGTTTGTGTATATGTGTGTGTGTGTGTGTGTGTGTGTGTGTGTGTGTGTGTGTGTGTGTGTGTGTGTATGTGTGTACATATATACTCGTATATACATCTATATATATAAATATATATGTAAACATATATACATACATTCATATATATAAATATAGATATAGATATAGATGTTTACCTTGTGTAAGCTGAATCGTGAGCCTCCCTGAGTCTCCACGTCAGTACCCTAAGAACTGCGCAAATGACCACGTCTGTGCATGTCCGTGTCCGTGTCCGTGCGTCCCCACGAAGGCGAGGGGAGAAGCGAAAAGAAAACAGTGAAAGCGCAGTCGAATCAAAGTTCGCTTCGTGGGAATTAAGCTGCAATTTCTGCCCCTCCGAAACAGAGAGGAAACAAATGAATAACTACAATAAAACTCCGGCGGCGAGAGAAAGCGAACAGAGCTGGCGGGAAGAGGCGCGAGGGGAGACTCAAGCAAACAGGAAGCGCTTGACGAGGGGAGAGGGGAGTGGCGGAGAGGGGAGCGAGAGGAGAGGTTGAAGGTAGATAAGACAGCACGCACGCCACCCGATAACTGAGGGGTAGATTAGGGAAGAGCATAGGATGATTGCTGCTAGGATTTAGGTGCTGATGAAACACGAGTATTTTGGTCGGCTTTTGGGCGTGGACAAACGCACACGCACACACACACACACACACACACACACACACACACACACACACACACACACACACACACACACACACACACACACACACACACACACACACACACACACACATACACACAAACGATGACAAACTACCGAATGGTCTTACCACAATGTAAACTGTGCATTTTGTTTTCGCTTTGTGGAATCGTGTGTTAATGTCTCTATTTACTTTTGAGGGCAGGCAGGATTGTTAAAAAAAAAAAAAAACTTGCTTTTTTATCCTTACATATTATTATTATTTCGATACGGATAATTATGGTGCAATCGTCAAGAGCTTAGTTGATATTTAGGAAGAAATATAATCATATGCATTCTTTTTTTTCTCTAACTCCATTATCATTATTGTTTCATCCTCTCCACTTTTTGCCTCCCTACATTCTCCTCTCCCTTTCTCCCCCAACTCTCTCCTCTTCTCTCCTCCCCTTCCCCCCTTCCTCTCTCTTCCCCTTCTTCCCCACCTCTCTCCTCCACTTCTCCCCTCCTCCCCTTTTCGCCTCCCTCTTCACCCCCCTCTCTCCCCTTTTCCTCCTCTCTCCACCCTTCCTTCCCTTTTCTCTCCCCTTTCCTCTCTCTCTCCCCTTTCCCCCTCCTTCTCCCTTCTTCTCCTCCCTTCTCCCTCCTCTCCTCCCTTTTCCCTCCTCTCCCCTCCTCCCCTCGCCCGCCTGCACTCCAACCCAGTACCTCCCCCATTCCCCTCACATACGGGCCGCCGGCGCAGGGGAGGGGTGAGGGGGGGCCTGATGGAAAGAGGAGGGGGGGGGCGGCGGAAGAGGGTCGAATGTAGGGAGAGGGAGAAGGGAGGCTGATAGGATGAGAATTGGAGGGAAACGGAGGTAGAGGGAAAACTGGGCTGGTGGAGATTGATGGCTGATTGCGTGGATAGATGGCTCGCTGGATAGAGGGGCTGATGGATCACTCGCTCGGGCGGGCGAGTGGAGCCAGGTCGAGGCAGGAGCCGGGTCAGGCCTTGGGTTCCACTGACCTTATCTGACTCTGGAAGAACCGTACTCAAGGCGGGGATTATCGGGCTTCTTGTCCAGGCTTCGACGCTCCATTTGGGGAACTAAGTTGGGGAATTCTTGCTATACATTATTCTCTTTTTTAGCCGCCATTGAGGATTTATAACCTACGGTCGTGTCAGAAGGTTGTTAAATGTTGTTAAAATCCCTATTGAAAATGACTTAAAAATAGCCTCGACGCCCCCAAGCCTGGCCATGAGTAACTGCGGGCGGGCTGAGTTACCTCATAGACCGGAGCTGAGTGTGGGTAGTGGAACCGAAGGGATCAGCGAAGAGAGACCAACAGGACAAAGCCAATCATACAAAGAATAAAAAGAAAGGGAAAATAAACAGAAAAGCGAGATGAACCGACGATATAATAACACCTTCAGAAAGACAAACATAAAAAAAATCACAGCGCGCCGGGGTGTCTCCTGCCATATGCCGTTCGAGGGAAATGTGGGAGAAGGGGGGGGGTGAGAGTGAATTGGAGGGGAAGGGGGGGGGGTGATGGAGGGGCGGAGCAACAGTGTTAAGTGTGGGGTGACAAATAGAGTGACAGGTGCTGCTTATTTTTTTTTTACTTTCTTTTTTTCATGGTGAACAACAGACTGTGAGTCCTCTTTGTCTCCACCAGGAAATATTTAACAAAATGATGTCATTCTGCGACATCCTTTACTCGTCACATTCTTAAAACATTCTGAAAAACATTCTCAGAAATCTTCTACATCCTCACAGTTTTTTTTTTTTTTTTTTTTTTTTTTACATACTTTCACCATGTACATAATCTGTAAAACTGAGAGAAAACTGTGAAACTAACTTTGTCTTCTCTCTCCCCCTTCCCTCCCCCAGGGTACCCTCACAACACACTCGGAATGACTAAGTCTTCCCTGGATGCACACAGCCCTCACCTCCGCCAGCCAGGTAGGTTACTCGGGTCAACATTGTGTCTCTTTCATAAATACTAAATTTGGTATCCCATTGCTTTGTGTCTTTGGAAATTCTGATTCTCATAACTAGCTCTTTCAATAATCTTAATAGTTTTGGTAGCGTCGTTATCCTTAATTAATTGTTATTATTAGTATCACTAATAATATCATCAGAATTAGTATCACTATTCTTATTATCATTACCAGGTTTACTATTAATGTTAGTAGTATCATTATCATTATCATCATCATCATCATCGTTATTGGTATAGTATCATTGTTATTGGTATAATCATCATCGTTATTAGTACAATCACCATCGTTTTTGGTACAATAATCATCGCCATTGGTAAAATCATCATTGTTATTGTTACTGTGATTATGATAACTGTTTTTGCTATCACCATGTGCCTTGATCACTCCTCATTCTTATTACATCAAAGAACAACAAAAATAACAAAGCAATAATACCCCGAAGGTTCTCTGCGGTTGGCGGTTCGTGGCTGAGATATCAGTTACTAATCAAATGTTGCTTTACCTTTTACGAAAGGGAATGTTACTTTGTCTCAACGCCTTGGGACGACGTGGAACCATCCCTCTTAGAATATAATCCACAGCATTTGGTGAATACCAACTAAAATCCACCCCTTATTTAACTGTCGTTCAATAAAATATATACATCTATCATCTAAATTATACTATACAATACATGGACTCCCAACCGACGAAAAAGACGGAAGCCGAAGTCAAAGCCTCTCCCTGCACGAACGCGAGTCCGAACGGAGGGATCAGCTGACCACTTGTAAGAGATCCGACACAGATTTGTGGGTTAAGTGTGCCTCCGCCGCCGCCTGTAATACGAGTCGGTCTTTGTGATCCTGTTTATTTGTTGCGGATACACATAAAGAGGACGGTAGCCTGTAGCCTGAGGAGCAAAGGGGGCTAGGGAAGGGACAAAAAGAGAAGGGGGGTAGGGGAGGATAGGGAGGACGGTACAAAGGTTTAACGTCGGTTGGAAAGTCGAGTAGGTTATTGTCTCTTGTTTTTCTCCTTAGATTTTTGGTAGACTGTTTATATCTCTTTTTGAAGGAGTAATATTGATACTGGGGGGTGCATTCTGATCATGCCTGATAGTAGCGAGGACTGACTAAGATAAATGAGTATGTAGAAAGGCAAGAATGAGAATGAATATCTTCACAGTACATATCTTGTGTTGTGAAGATATTCATTCTCATTCAACATGAATACGGTTCATAAATTGAGTATATCTGGTACCATGAAAATCACAGGATCAGCTAAATTTGCGATTGTCGTAATGATGGTAATGTTCAACCTCGTGTTTCCTGACCTATAATTTTACGTAATGTTGTATCTCTTATTCACCGAAACAATGGAAATAAGCACATTAACTTAGGAAACAAGAAGGGAAGAGGGGGTGCCATATGTCATGTTCCAGAATGTCATCCGTTTTTTTCCCTTTCGTCTTTCATTCCATTCACAGTTTTGTTGTTTTATTAATGTTTTATTTTCTATTACTTTCGGTCCATACGGTCGCTAAACACCTCATACTTCGCCGATGATTGACCTCTAATGATCTGATCAACGGAACTTAATAAGTGTACAATGCGACCTTTCAGAGTAACAAGGGCATATCTCCACCCCCACCCCACACCATTATCGTCATTTGTTCTTCATTGTTCGGCTAAAACTTTGTTATTTGTTATTATTGTTTGTTTTTTATTTCTTTTTTTTTCTTCCGTCTACACACGCAGATGGTCCAGTATTTGTTTGTTTGTGAATATCCATTATTTTAGGCGGGATGTTGCCAGATTTGGCGAAACAGTAATTATTCTTGATTTCTGGAGGGCTTTATACATGTATTTATGTCACGTGTTGTTCATATGTTTATTTTGAACAAACATCCCGGGTATGTCACGCGTCATTGCTCTGATTTTAATCGCAATTGGCAACCGATGGTGCGTCTAGGCTTCGCGGCCAAACAGTTCGGGATTACATAACACTGTGGCGGCCGCTGGACACACGGACTAAAAATAACTTGTATTCCGTACTAAAATTATGTAAGCGGAGAGAAAAAAAAAGAAACCAAAAAATATATGCATGTTGGTATCGTGTTTTGTGTGTGTTTCGCTTTTTCTGGTTATTTATCGGTATGTTCTTTTCCTTCTTTCTCTCTCTCTCTCTCTCTCTCTCCTTTCCTTTCCTTGTCTTCTCCTTCCTTCCTTCTCTCCCCTCCTCCCACCTTCCTTCCCTTTCTTACCTTTCCATTTTTCTGACACTCCACCCTCCTTCTCCCTTTCTCTCTCCTCCTTTCTATCTATTTCCCTTTCTCCTCTCTCTCTCCTTCCCATTATTCACCATTCTTTCTTCCCCCTATCTCTCTCTCTCTCTCTCTCTCTCTCTCTCTCTCTCTCTCTCTCTCTCTCTCTCTCTCTCTCTCTCTCTCTTCTCTCCCTCCCTCCCTCCTCCTTCCCTTCTCTCTCTCTCTTTCTCTCTCTCCCCCTTCTCTCTCTCTCTCCTCTCTCTCTCTCTCTCTCTCTCTCTCTCTCTCTCTCTCTCTCTCTCTCTCTCTCTCTCTCTTCTCTCTCTCTCTCTCTCCTCCCACCCACCATCTTTATCCCCATTCACTTCTCCCTGCATCCCTCCCCTCCCTTTTAGCCATGCACGCCACCATGAGACCGAACGAGGGAGAAGGGAGGCACAGGTCATGCACATAGGCCTACCTCACGCATGCATGGCGATGGCGAGGAGCGGGGGTGGTTGGGGAGGGGAGGTAGGGGGTAGGGGGCATTGATAGAGGGGAGTGGGGGGGGATAGAGAGGGGGGAGGGTAAAAGGGGAGGAGAGGGATAGGAAGAGGGGGGAGGAACAGGGAAAGAGAGGGGAAAGGGGGTAGGGTGAGGGGTACGAAGAGGGGAAAGAGAGGGAGAGGGGGAATGCAGGTGGCTGTGACGTCGTTAACAATGCAGCTGCACGTGTCTGTGTGATCAGCCGACCCTAACTGTTGCGGCAGTGCAGTCGGACCTGTGGGGAATACCTAATACACATGCCATAACAAGGCCGCCATACCTATACTTCCCTTTTATTTCTTCTTTATCACTTTTTTTCCATTTCTCCACTTTATTTCTCTTTGATTTCTTCAATCATTTTTTAATGTTTTCTTTTTCTCAAGTTTGTTCCTGGTTTTCATTATCTATTATTTCGTTTTCTTCATTTTCCTCTTTAATTATACTTTTTCTATTCTTTATTTTCCTTTTTTCCATTTTTTTATTTTTTTTCCATTTCTCCACTTTATTTCTCTTTGATTTCTTCAATCATTTTTTAATGTTTTCTTTCTATCACAGTGATAGCTAGGCTTAGTTCTTCGATCTGGGACTATAATCTTTTATTTTTATTTTTATTTTTATTTTTCTCTCTTGGTGTAAATGAACTTGGGAGTTGATGTGCGTTTCCGTTTGTGTGTGTATGTGTGTGTGTGCGTATGTATGTCTGTGTGTACGTGTGCGTATGAGTGTATGTGTGTCCGTGTAGGCGTGGGTGTGTGTGCGTGCGTGTCTACGTATGTGTGTGGAATGGTAGGCGGAAGGTTCAATGTTAGAAAATACTGCACATTTTCAGTATAAGCTAACCAAATACATGGCTTAGAACTTTCTACAGATTTCAGATTTTAGGATCGTAGTCCTCCGCGGTATCCTTAAAACACATAGAAACCGAAACAATGTTCACAAAGAAAAAAAAAATAGATAAATAAAAAAAAACTATTCAACCGCTTTCGAACAACATATCTTAATCCCTCATGGAGATTCAGAATTCGACGTCGCGAATCACACTCAGAGGTTCATAATTTCGTTTCCCTAAAACCCGTCGGGGATTAAAAACCGGTTAAGAAAAAATATATATATACTGTCCGGTACATTTCGGTGTTCTCGTCCAGGAAGAGGTTCGAACGCGTGGGTTGCGAAGCTCCTGGAACCGGTCTCGAAGCGTCGCGTCGATAAATGGTCTGGATCATTTTCTCGAGACGGTGAGCGCCAGACATTTCCTTCGTTTTTGTTTCTTTTTGTTTTTGATTCGAAGGTATTGATTACCTGTTTGGGTTGATTGTTTTTTGTTTTATTTGTTTATCTATTATTTTTTTCCTTTTTGCCAAACGTCACAATTTGTAAATGGCTTCTTAAAAATGACGATATTGAGGCATGTTGTAGTGACGTCATCGAAACCTATAGGCCTTGTGCGGAGGCCTAGGGAGGACCTTGATGACGTCATAAGAATCAGACGGCTATGATGACGTCAGGGGTGGATGACTGCGCAATGGACCGCGACTGCGCAGGCCTTCGCAGCCCCCCCCCCCACTCCGCCCCCCTTCCACCCTCATAAGACTCCTCACATCAGCGAACAGGAATTATTTACGGAGGAAGGATCCTTGGTTATCCGATCCTCTTCCGCTTCTGCTTTATTTCTCTTTCTCTTCTGTCTTTCTGCTTTTATTTCTCTTTCTTTCTGTCTTTCTGCTTTTATTTCTCTTTTCTTCTTTCTGCTTTTATTTCTCTTATTTATTCCTCTCTGCTTCTTCGCCTCGAACTCTGTCTCGGTTAGTTCTCGTCAACTTCTTCATCATTCCCTTTGTCTCGTCCCCTACGACTTTAGTCTCTTCTTCTTTTCTCGTCTCTTCCACTTTCATCCACAACCCTATGCTTCCCTCATCCGCTTCCCGCTAACCTCCCTTCCTTCCACCTCTCCTCTATCACCCTCATCCACACCCTCCTCCTCCCCTTCCCCATCATCCACCTCCCTCCACCCCTTCCCCCATTATCCACCTCACTCACTACCTCCACCCTGTCCCTCATCATCCACCTCCTTCCACCCCTCCCCCATTATCCACCTCACCACAACCCTCCCCCATTATCCACCTCACTCCACACCTCTCCTCTCCCTCCCCCCATCATCCACCTCCCCCACAGAGACGGCGGCATCGGGC